AAAAAAAAAAAAAAAAGAATCATATGCCTGAGCCCTAATCTAGATATAATAGATAAATAAAAATTGTGGTCTGTGGCAGTGCTCCCAACCAAGAATGTCACCCAAGTTCCTGAGGGCTTGATAAAACCATTGCAGTCTAGACATGACACCATTTCTTCCCAAGGATTACACCCTGAGTTCTGTCATGTCTCTTTCTTCAATGTTCTTTCAGTTGACCATAATATACACACCTGGGTGAAACCACTGAGTTGATGGTTTACAAGTTAACGCATATGATAGAGAGTTTGTAGAGCTCATGTGATTACCTATGAATATTAACTTTTGTCCTATATAAGAACACAAAATGTTGATAAAGAGAAAAATAAAAGATCTGTAAGATGATATGAAGCAAAGGGGCAGACATTGCAGAGGTGAGAAGGAGATCTAAAGATTGGGAAGACAGGAGGGAGGGCAGGAAAAGGGTCAGTAAAAAGTATTAGAATATAACATATATGTACACACTGGCTCCCGTAAATAAATGTAGTAATTGTGCATCATATACTGCTAAAAACTAAACTAAAAAAATGGTTTCACAAAAATCACTTAAAAGATTCAAAGTGCAAGTAATCATCATCATCATCATCATCATCATCATCATCATCATCATCATCATCAAAGTTCAAAGGATCCTACCTCATAGCTCTTGAGTTTGGCTAGTTGCTCACTTATTTTTCTCTACCCTTTTCATTTATTAAACAAAGGTAATAATGATGTAAATGTCACATGGTAATTGTGCTTATTACATAAGATAAACACAGCATTAAACACAAGGTCTAGCAAAAAATAGTTGATAAAAGTTAGTTGTTGAATTATCACTATTGTGCTTGATAGGGTGCTAGATGAAATGACACAAATGAGAGAGAAACCTGTAGCTCCACAACTCTGAGTGATCGCTAAAAGATCATTAGGAAAATGGAAAGAGAAAAGGAGATCCAGAGACAGAGGGCGAGGGAAAGAATGGGAGAGGAATAGGAATAAAAAGAAGTATGTTAAGTATATGTAACTACTTCCTGAGATGAATGTAAATATTATTTACTGTAAGCACGTACTGATTTTTTTAATGTATTTAGTAGATGGTCTACAGGGTCTCACTACATTGATCAGACTCATAGTAATTCTCCTGTTTTCAGGCTCCCTAGCACTAGGATTACAGGCAAAGGCCACCACACCCAGTCTCAGTCGCCCTCTCAGCGCGCCCTGGGGGCAGGGCTGGCATGACACCCTGGGGAATGAACTCCCCCAGCCCTTGTGCTTTGCCGAAGCTGGCACTTTAGTCCACTGAGCTATCTGGCTGGCCCTACAAATAATTCTTTTATAAAGCAGGTAATTTGAAGTCAGAAGATCAAATTTAAATCTAAGTTCTGCTATTAGTGAAACCTAGGTCAATTTATTAAATATCTTTGCCACTATTCTGCCATCTGACAAAAAGTATACTTAAGACAAAATGAGATAATATATGTAAAATATTGACAATACTGCCTAATCCTCAATAGAATATTACAAACATGAGACAATAACTCATTCAGCAGTTCTTCACAAAGCACCATTAACAGATCGATTACAAGGTAAAATGCATAAAAATATGCTGACTTTCTTGGAACACTCATGCATATAAGTGGTGATTCTTCAATCAGTAGATGTTTAAATATTTATAAATATATTCTAGTAAAAGTCATGGCCATTAAAATACATCGTAAAAGTCATGGCCTCTCAAACTACATCCCCTCATTCCACACAGACTTACTGCCACTTTGTTTAGCAGTTCCAGAATGTCCTCTTCATGTTTTTACAAAGTAGTTAAAAACACCCTGAGCATCATCATCTAAATGAAGGAAGCGCACGAAGATGTGAAGCTGCGTCCTCGTACACTTGAATCACCTGGTCTACAACCATGAGACTCTGGCTTTTCCTAAAGGTCATGAGCATGAGAAGCAAAGGAATTGCCTGTGGCAAAGTATCATCCGAATGATCCAGAACACTGCCGCAGCCACAACAGCACAAGGGAAAGCACAAAGGAGAAATGCTTCAGACAGTGACAAGAAGTCTGGAGGAGCATTTTCAAAAAAAGGAAGAGTATTTGCAGGGAAACAATAGCTGTATTTTCCACCATGATAATCGTGTTTTCTTCAATTACATCCATAGTTCCTCTGCTGGCAAAGAGTCCTGATGGCATAGAATATATTTGTTCTTATATTCTATAAGTCAGAGTTTTAAAATCAACAGACTGAATTTCAACACAGATTGGACACCAAGGAAAAAGCTGTGTGACTGTTCCAGGTACTAGCAATTTCTGAACTGCAAGAAAAGGTAAATGGTTTCTAAATGCATGAGGCTTATAACCTAGATTAAAATTTGCAGTTTGCTTCTTTCTCAGGAATCAGATCAAGTCTATTATAAATATACAGACATGATTGAATAAAGGCTTATTTAGCACATCCTGAGGTCAGTAGTCTGAATAACTGCCTGAATTTGGAATAAATCTGGTTTCAAAACCCTGCTAAGTTGCCTGTTACCTAAAGTTCTCAGCAGGTTTTTCTGTTTCACATTAATCTCTATACTGACTATTATAGTCACATTGTGTCCCGGAATTTTTTTTTATTATTTCCCCTAAATATTCTTTCAGTTCCTGCCATGATAAAAATGCTCAGAAAGTCATATGATCAAAATCATTCATACAAATGATGAGTTTTCAGCAGAAACAATGCGATTTTCCTTGAAAGTAGTTCTTCCAGTCGAGATATTTGATTAATAAAAACAAGCCCATATTCAATTAACAAAGTGATAAAATAATCGCCCTAACTCTCCATGTCAAGACAAATGTGTACATGGCAACCATCACTGCCGTCCATGAGGGACAGAAAATGTCCTCTTCCATTTTCCTCAGCCTACCTCAGAGTACCTTCCTTCCAGAGCAGGAGGTCCGGGCAAAGGTTGGCCCTCACTGGTCCCTTTCACAGCAGTGTTCTCTCCTTTGGCTTCAGCTGGGTTAATCTCCTTGATAAATCCATGGGCAACATCCAAAATTCTGGAGAATACTTCAGATCTTGCCTATTATGGAAGGACAGATACAAATAAAAGTCCTGACAGATATACTACCATCAGCCTAAGTAGTTTATTAAATTCAAGTCAAATTTTTGGCATTCTTGGGTTCATAACATTCAGCGAATTTTAGCTAATATTCATGAAAGCAAATTACAGTTTTTATTAACCAATAGCATAGTGACCGCTGCCATCACTGAGGGGACTGACCTGGATGGGTGCTGTTCTAAACATTTTCAAAACATTGTATCATTGAGTCCTTGAGGTGACTAAGAGGTAACTTTTTCATCTCTTTATCAGAAATACAGAAGCTAAATCCTGGAGCATGTTACTAAGATGGTCACATAATGAGTGGGGGACAGAGCTGGAAGGTAGCCACAGCTAGTTAGAATCGTAATGGCTTAAGGCTTTCCACAGCGTGAGCCTCAAATAGGTTGATGTTATTTTGTGCACAGACTTGCTATCCACTAAGAATGTGAGAAAAGCAGGAATGAATATTCCTTAGCGATAAGACAGCCTCAGCAAATGTGCACTGTCCAAACACATGTATTAAGAAGTACCGACGTCCATAATGCCCTGCTCAGCTCTAGTTGACACTCACGGGATGCATTTGCTCTGAAGGTTCACTTGCAAGAAGGCCTTCCCTTTCCCTTGTCTTTGCCAGATGCTTGCTTCTCCTTGAATCATTCCAGGTTATTCCCTCCAGTCTACAAACCCTTTTCTGAACCTCTCCTTGCCCAGCCTTCTGAGTCATCCACTCTTGGTAGGATTTCACCCGCTGAGAAGCTCCTCACTAGCTCAATGTGAATTTTGTATCATTTTTGGCTTCTATCTAACCCATCAGAACACTAAGCTTACAACAGCAAAACTCATACTTGAAAGGAGAAAGATTTACATGGCTACCACACCACCTGACAAAGTGTACAACAAAATAAAGTGTGGCAGAAAGAGAAGTATTAGTTTAGTTAAAATAAATAATGGAGACAGGATGTTTTAAAGTTATTTTGGATGTGTTTCAGAGGGGTTGCTGAGGAACAGGTAAACTTGGAAAGACTCTATTCTCTGAAAGGTCTCCTCAGAGGATCCCATCTAACCTTGTACGAAAATCTGAGGGGAAGAGCCAGGAACTCCAGAGGCTCTGTGAGAACCTGGCATTAGGACGCTGTGAAATTCCTAGGTCTTTCTCTTAGCAAATGTCATCAAGACTGACAAAAATACAGCAAGGGCCAGAAGTAATCACTAAGTGTGCTCACGTATGCACACTTAGTTAAGAGGTTTAGTCTTGTTACCTATTTAAATAGTCACAATCACAGTGAAACTTTCCAGTCATGACCTTTTGAAAATTCACCAGAGTCTGACTCTGGAAAGAGTATCCGTGAACATCAACTTAACTCGTGTTCAAGTATGGTACCTGGTTAATAAAATATCTCCGAACATGTGATAAGCATGATCTACGTACACATATCACTGTACATTCTCTGTACAGACCTGTGGTATCTGCTCCAAAATTGCTCAATTATAAAGCCCAGTAAGGCAGCATATACCTGATTTCAAATTGCCTAAAAGTGTATTAATTTCAAAAGCATTTACAATGTCTAATTTTAATTTTATATTTACAAAGCATCAAAATCAATAGTGTCAAAATTACGTAGAGTTAGTAAGATAAGAATTATCAAGTGTATGTTTATTTAAATAACACTAAATGAAGATTGTCCTTTCTCGAAAATTAATCTGCTATTACTACTTCAACAAATTAATAACATTTTTAGGTAGCATAATTAAAAGAACTGGGAAATGGCAAAAAACTGCTAAAAATGAACTTTATGAATAATTCATAAACTGAAATTTTATATCTGAATATCTTAAGCCCTGTTAATTTAACAGATAACTAAAATAAATAAAATGCCAATAAATAGGTTTGCTTTTTCCCTAGGACATAATGCATTTAAATATTACTTTTCTCCACTGTAAGACTGTGCATTTATATTTTATTTCTCTTAGTTTTAAAACAATTATGCAAAAGGTCAGATACTTATGATTTCCATTATAAAGAAAAAGAATCCAAAATTGAGAATGCATAGCTCCAACTCAAATGGCTAGAAATTGTTGGGTGTTGGGTTATATTCAAGTCTTCCTTCTAGTCTAACTCCTTTTCCCTGACAAATTCACATTAGCTCACATTATATAAAGCATGAATGTTATCTGTGATTTCCTGAGACTGAACATAGAAAACATTATATCTAATAGATCTGTATATTGTTCCTTCCTTTAAAGGAACCCACAAAACTATGATTCTGTATTCCATTGGCCATCTAAGAATCCAAGGTGGATGGGTTTTTATGTTGTACAAGTCCTGTTCATTTTATATTTCACCAAGTACTCAAAACTAAATTATAGTTACAACATATTAAAATGTAAGACCTAGAGGTTCCTGTTAGTTAATATAAAAAATCCCCAGAGGTAACAGTCATTAACAGTTGAGAACATATTATTGATAATTTTGGCTTGTATTTAAAAGAAATCTAGATTTGCAACACACACACATATGCACACACAAATTCACTTACTATCAAGTATAATTTTAAGTAATACTCAATGAACAAAGCTGTGTTACAATATTTAAAAATAAATGCTTTAAGTATAACATGTACCATACACTCATAAATAGTCTGGAATTTTAGAACTCAGGTCAAAGAATTGTCACCTTTTAATAATGAAAATGTGTCAGGGGTAGTACTAATAGGAATTAGCAACAGCAAAACAGGATTGGAAATGTATAAAATTACCTGGAAAACTGTTCTACATGTTAAAAATATTTTAAAGTCAAACTAAAACAGCTTTCAGGGCACAGAGTAAATCATATATTTCACTGTGGGGTAGAAGCTTAAAATAGAGCCAAGAATGTGATTTACTGCCAGCGTCTCCAGATTCGCCTGCATCCTTCACTATCCTGCATGATGGTAGACCGCATCTCACCACTGTTCTAAATTCTTACCTGAATTTTTTTTTCCCTTAGAATGATATTATCTTTCAAATTACACTCTAGAAGAATTCATCACTCTGACAAAGTATCATTAATCAAAGGAAAGAGGGTTGATATTTTATAGCATTTTAGGATAGATGACACCTTGTAGAAGTTAAGGTCTAAGAGTAAAAGTTTTAGTTTAGTTAGAAAAAATTGGTATACTTTATGGGAGTGCCAGTGCTTCAGAGTTCTAACTAGCATCATCCACATCTCCGACTATACAGTACTATGAACGATC